ATCATCAGACAGATATTTACTATGTACCTCAAAGTAAGTGTCACCACTGTGTTCAAAAGATGTAGTTTGCAGTGTACAGGTATGTCTGTTACCATCTAGTTCCTTAGCATTTTTCTTAATGACACCATTCGAGCAGACATTCTTAAAGGTTTGCTTGTTTGCTTTCGTGTGTGTTTGTGTGTTTGGGGATGGTGGTATTGATGTGGTGAATGAGTGGGATTTTAAGTTCACAGAAACTCTTATTGAGTATATATTTTGTGCTAGGCATTATGCTAGAACTTGGGGATGCAAAAATATGCTTGTTACAGAGTTAGGTAATTGTTGAAGGAAGGGAGAGAGTATGAAAAGAAGATATAACTCTTAATCTCTGGAAAGGGGTAGAAATAACATAACATGAAATTCCAACATGGAGGCATAATATGTGAAGTGAGTAAGGAACAGGGAGTTGAATATATAGTTAATCAGCTTTTTAAAAATGACTTGACCAGGCACAGTGGCTTATACCTGTAATTCTAGTACTTTGAGAGGCTGAGGCTGGAGGATCATTTGAGGCCAGAAGTTGGAGACCAGCCTAGGCAACAAAATGAGACCCCGTCTCTACAAAGTAATAATAATAATAATAATAATAATAATGACTTGAAGTAGAAAATGGCAGAGGAGACACCATAGAAAGTCAAAGATCTAATTTTTGTGTGTGTTCATGTTATACTTCCCTAATAAATGACTGTTTATAAAAAGTTAGCAGTTTTTAAAATATTTAATAACTCTTTATTCCCTTTTAGAATGTCTTTCAAGTTGCTCCTCATGTTTTCCCATTTAGGAGCAGAGGAATAGATAGATACTTTGTTTAGTCTTTGGGGTTGCTTAACACTAAGTATATGGCATGATGGGTTTTTTGCCTAAGTATATTTGATTATTACTTTTTAAAAAAAGATTACCTTTTAAAAAGATTCCATTTCACAATGGCATCTACTATTTATACAGTCTAGACGTGAACGTCAAGCACTTGTGAATTCTAAAAAATTGCACGGTGGATTGTGATTTTTTTTTAAGCTAACAGAGAAAATATACTGTTTTAAAGTTTACCTTGTTTCCTATGAGACAAAGAATTGTAGTTATCCTCGTCACAGAACAACTGTGAAATTTGTTGGTGCTAGGATAAATAAACATAACCTCAACTTGTCCTGACAAGTTTGTACTGTTATACATTTGTGAAGGAATCAATAGTCTCTTTCTGTTTCAATGTATTGTATTTCACATAGTTGTAAACAAGAAAATCCAAGTTATTATTCCCTGAGAAGATTCCTTAATAGATCAGTGAATTTGTTTTGAAGTTACCATTGGCCCTTTGTTTGGCCATGCTTTTGAGCAAAAAAAAGAGATCTGAGTATTTTTAACGAATTAATAGTTAAATCTATTAAGCCCTGGTTATGTTGGCTATTCTGACTTTTTGTTACTTACAAGAGAAATGAATCCTGTGAATCCTAAATGCATGGTACATGTAATGTTTATTTTCTTGCATATCTATGGTGAACCTTTAGTAGACATTCAATGTGGGAATATTACAAATAGAAGGGACTTAAGAGACTATGGATTCCAAACTTTCTCATGTTGTAGGTAAGAAAATGAAGGCCCAGAGAAGTATCTGAATCTCCTTGGGTTGCATAGCTCATTCATGGTAGGGTAACTCAGTATAAACAGTAGAACCTCAAATAAAAACTATATTCTATCTGTACTTTGCATTCTCTTGAATATGAATCCCACCTGAATGAGGTGAATACACTTGGAATCTGACCCCTTATACACCTGACAATTTTATAACTCAGAAAATACAAATAATCTTCTATACTAGGTTTCCAAGAAAAAACTCCTATTTTAAAAGCACCCTTTCAGAAGAAAATTTGTCACTCTTTGATTTTCTTTTCTTATGATTATCAACTATCACTCTCAGATTTCCTTATATGAGAAAGTTTCTTAATTTGAGGTCCATAAATCCCTAAGTAATCAAGTTTCTGAAGCCCTGACATTACATGCAAAATTTAGTTTACAACTTGTATAAATTTCTCAAAGGACCACTACCCAAGGTCAACCTGGAGTCTCATTCTACAGTTTAGCCCATTTCTTTTTGCCTTATCTTCCTTGGAAGACTCTTACCTGCCTCCATATTATAGCTCTGCATTAATTTGGAGATTATTACTGTTTCTAAATGAAGAATCTCAGATCATTTTGGCTTTTTTCATAGGCTCCTTTTCTTCACATTTTAAATTATTTTACACTGTCATTTGAACCCTATCCAAATTATTCATAAACCTGGAAACCAAGGAGCTCAGAATTAGAAATCATGTACTAATGAAGATCTAGTTTAGAAGCTTGTGTCTCCTGACAGTGATGTCAGAGGTCTAGGAGAAACAGATGTAAAGCTGCTAACACAGGTTCAGGAATGCTCACTACTGTGTAGGTTAGGCCAACCCTCAAAGTCAAAGCAGAAAGCAGACTGAGGGTAAGGGACTTGGGTAAAGCTTATAGGATTGGGCACATTTCAAATTTTAAAATAGTAAATAGTTCCTGTACAGCAGGGGTCCCCAACCCCGGGGCCAGAGATCAAGTAAGCAGTTTCATCTGTATTCACAGCCACTCTTTATCACTTGTATTACCTCCTAAGCTCTGTCGCCTGTTAGATCAGCAACTGCATTAGATTTGCATAGGAGCACAAACCCCGCTGTGAACTACGCATGTGTGGGATCTAGGTTGCACATTCCTTTTGAGACTCTGATGCCTGATGATCTGAGGTGGAGCTAAGACAGAGATGGTAGTGCTGGGGGGCAAGCTGCAAATACAGATTATTATTAGCAGTGAAGTTTGCACAGAGACCATAATACATCAGTTGCTTGCAGACTCATCAAAACCCTCTCAGTGAGTGGCAGTGGGTTGATGTACTTCAATTGTACAACTGCATCTGGTGGCAGACTTTAAGTCAGAATCCAACACTTATTTTAGTCCATGCAAGGTCCGCCCATTATTTTATTTACTTTTATGTATTTTTGTATAATTATTTCGTTATATATTACAATGCCATAATAATAGAAACAAAGTGCACAATACATGTTATGTGCCTGAATCTTCCTGAAACCATCCCCTGACTCCCATCCATGCAAAAATTGTCCCTGATGCCCAAAAAGGTTGGGGACCGCTGCTGTACAGGGAGTCAGGATGGGTAGTAGGAATCAAGCCCAAGCCTGAAGGGAAAACAGAATCCTGCAAAAAATCTGGAACATAGCTTGGTGCGGGCGAACAAACTGCTTCCTTTCTTAAGTTAAATCAATCCGATCTTCTAGTATTGAGACTAGGCACTTGAGGGGGTGCTGCTGTGTCTTGCAATACAAGTACTTGTCTCCCAGATTTTCGTTTGCTTTGCAACCTCTGCAATCACATTGGCTGAAGGATATTAGATTTCTGAAGGTTATGTTCCTAAGGGGTGGGAGGAATGGGAACAGTGAGATGGGGTTTGCAAGGTATAATATATAAACTAGGTTATTGAAATCACCAGGGCAGAAGGGATTAGACTCTTCTGGGAATCTGATGACAACGGTGGGCTGTTCCTCTAGAAGCATGACATCAAATACAAATCATGCCAAAAAAAATTTTGTGTAAGTGACCTGGCTTGAAACAGATTTATAGTTAATAATTCCTGACTGAGATGTTTGATATTCTCTATTTTTAATCCATTTGTTTCCTGTCCTTTCTTAATGTTTTATGTAATTATTTCAGTGTCTGTCTCAGCCATGCTAAGGAGATTTGGGCATGTAGTTTCCACATGTGAGCAACAAGATTAATGGGAAGAATAGCGACCCTGAGCCTAGAGCAGTGGTGACAGCAGTATTTTGGGGGAGATCTCTGGGGCCGTGGTGAATTTGTGGGATAAGAATTGTGTCAACGAAGTCCAGCATCCCCTTCCCACTGGATGATTCTTTCTCTGTTCCTGTGCTAGGGTTTAGGTTTCATTTTACTAACTAAGAAGCAATTCCTTTATGAATTATGTAACGGGATACTGACACTGAGCTAGCTAGCTAGTTAGTTTTATGTGGTTTCTATTGGGACAGCAGCCAGTTCCAGAGCATGGCTGGCCTAGGCCTCCAGGCAATGGGCAGACCCCTGACCAGGATAGGGTTTGAGGGCATAGCAGGAGGAATGGCTTTGGGGGTACAGCCTGAGCTTTGCTCATGGCTGTTTGTGACTATATTGTTAGTTTTACTCTCTAGTGGCTTTATCTAGAGGTCTTAAATACATAAGGTTGAATTTAGACAGTAATTATTTGTATCATTCAAGTTGAATAGAACCTCATTTACCCCAAATTTTAGGTCATTGGAAACAGAGTACCTGAATTCATCCAGTTTATCTTTTTTTTTTTTTTTTTTTAAGTTACAGCCAAAAAAAATATGTTTGGAAGAAGGGATTTTCAAATGTGTAAATATTTAAATTTAAAACAAAATTTAAATGTTGATTAAATGGTTATGTAAGAACCTGGTCTCTGTGCCTTTGCTTTAAGTGATTTTTTTCTCCCCTGTACCTGTCTTTCCTTGAAGCCCAGTTTCTGACCTGTCCTGCCTATGAAATGGAGATGGCAGTATCTACCCCGATGACATTTTGAGCATTATTAAGATAATCCATGTCCAACCTTTAGCGTAGAACCAGGCGCATATTAAGTGATGATAATGGTTAAAATGTTGTTTTCCCCAAATACTCTGGTGACCATTTAACTTCTTTATTCTCTGACCATAAAAAACACTCTCTATACCACTTTTTGAAAACTTACTATCCTTTTTTTAGCTATCTTATTTTAGATGTTATAGTTTTATCTCTATAATGAAATTGTAGGCACCTTGATAGGCAAAGATAGACAATACAAAACTTGCTGAATTGAATTGAAAAGTAACATTTACTTGCTTTGCAAGACACGTAGTCTTTATTTTTTCTGTTTTGTTTTGTTTTTTCCCCTCAACAGAAAATGAAAACACTAGCAGAAAGGAGGAGGAGTGCTCCATCTCTTATCCTGGATAAAGCCCTGCAAAAAAGGCCTAGTACCAGGTAAGTGCAAAGCATTGTATTGCACATTTGTCTTGTGCTTTGAACTCTTTATTAGATAAGCAGTTTGTCAGGTCACATGTATTTTAGTGTGTTGAGGCTGTTTTTCTTTTGTTTTTGTTTTTTGTCAGCACCAGAATTCTGTTTATTAATAGGAAATACGACTCCTTACAGAGCTAGTATGTATCCTCGGTTGCTTTAAAACTGAATAAAAAGTGAATCTTGCGCGGTGTGGTGGCTCATGCCTGTTAACCCAGCACTTTGGGAGGCCGAGGAAAGAGGATTGCCTGAGCCCAGGGGTTCGAGACCTGGGCAACATGGTGAGACCTTATCTCTACAGTAAATAAAAAAGTAACCCAGGTGTGGTGGTGCACACCTATAGTCCTAGCTACTTGAGAGGCTGAGGTGAGAGGATTGCCAGAGTATAGGTCAAGGCTGCAGTGAGCTGTGGGCATACCACTTTACTACCGCCTAGGTGACAGAATGCTCAAAAAAAAAAAAAAAAAGCGCATCTCACATCACATAGTTCACAAACTTGCAGGTTCCACATTAATCAAAGTTTATTTGTAGAAACGGAAATTAGAATACTGAAAAATGAATGTTTTGTTATACACAAAACTTCACCTACTTTTATCACAAGGTGATGCCTGTGCATGGATAAGAAAATTTTTTCTTACCAATTTTAGATTTGAAGGAAGGTAACTGAATTAAGATTATTAAAAATGGAATATTTATTTCTCTTTTGGTATTATTGGTTAAATTCATGAAATTCGAAGTAGAAAACCAGACTAAATAGCTACTAAAATGGTCATTTCACCTGTGGAAGCTAATAACTATTTCAGTAGACATTTTAAGTCTTTCATAATGTGTAGAAATTGAATTGACTGTTCAATCATTGATTTATTCGTGCATTTTAAAATTGCATTTTAACTCACAGGAGTTTTTATGTTCAAAAGAATTTTATGATGATTGCTTCTATACTGTGAATTCTTTTATGTCGAGTGAAAACTTCATCACTTTTATTTAAAGTGAGGGTACTCGGCTTCTGCGACCTGGGAAGAGCCAGGGACCAAGCAGAGAAGCTGCAGTACCAACTGTTGCACCAGGGCCCTGGCCACTTGCTCACGAGCCCCCACTTAGTCTCTCCCAACATTTTCTTCCCAGGAAGGGTTTTGTTGATTTAAAAAAATAAAATAAAATAAATGGTGCTGGGCTTCTGCGACCCCGGGAATCTCTAGGGTCCAAGCCCAACGGCTGTGGCACCAACCGCCGTACCAGGAGAGCCCTGGTTGCCAGCTCCCTAATCCTCACTCAGTTAGCCACTCACACACCCACTCGCTCACCAGCACCAAAATTTTCCATACACTCACTCACTCACACGGGGGACTTGCACAGTCCGACTGGCTCGACCACCATCTTCCCGACCTCTCTTTGGAAGACAGCAATCCAGCCGCCTCAGCCTTCCAAGTAGCCGGAACTACAGGCACTCGCTACTACACCCAGCTAATTTTTTATTTATTGTAGAGATGAGGTCTCGCCAAGTCGCCCGGACTGGTTTCGAACCCGTGGGCTCTGGCAATCCACTTGCTTCGGCCTCTCAATGTGCTGGGATGACAGACTGAGCCACCGAGCCCGGCCTACATTTCTGAAAAATTTAGTATTTATTACAAATGTATAAAATACTTTGTGTTTATATATAAAGTAGTCAATTTACAGGCATAGGTAATTAAACACAGGTTTGTTCCCCTCCCCCTTTTGTAATTATGCTACTCAGGGGACATTTAACAACTATGCAGGAACCCACAGTTCTTTGCTATGTAGAATGCTCTGTGCTTTACATGATTGCTTAGCATCTCAACCACTGTCCGGTAAATCACTGAGACAAACTCAAATGTTCTACAAAGTTCCAAAGTGCCCCCTAGAGGTTAGTACCATCCCATCGAGAACATTGAACATTGAGGTCTACATGAACTTTCAGTACCTATATACATACTCTTACAGATTCTTGCCCTGGGTTAGGAGGAAGATAATTACTGGTCTCTAATCTCAGAGTAAAAGCCTCTTTGGCACAAGGACTAGCTTTTAACTGAAAACCTTAGCACACTTCAAATCCAGAAATTTTACCTGAAACTGCTTGTTTAAGAAAAATGAGAATAAAGTTATTTTTACATCTATAGTACAGAACTGAAAACTGTTGTATTGATCATTTTACTTCCTCTTTCTAATCATCTTCCCTAAAAAAAAAAAACTTTCCCTTGGCCAGGCATGGTGGCTCACACCTGTAATCCCAGCACTTTGGGAGGCTGAGGCGAGTGGATTGCCTGAGCCCCGGGTTCGAGACCAGCCCAAGTGACTTGGCGAGACCTCGTCTCCACAATAAATCAAAAATTAGCCGGTGTGGTAGCGCACACCTGTAGTTCTGGCTTCCTGGAAGGCTGAAGCGGCAGGATCGCTAAAGCCCAGCAGGTCAACACTGGGGTGGCCATGAGCATGCCACTGCACTCTAGCCTGGGTGAGACTCAACAGAGTGAGACTCCAACTCAAAAAAAAAAAAAAGAAAGAAAGAAATGCAGCAGCCACCTTGTGCATCAAGAGATAATTATATTTTGTACTGTTTGAAACCTTTTCTAAAAACCACTTGGCTATGCTTCCTTTTTCTGTACTTGTTGCATAAAATGGTTTCTTATCATCTGATTTCTCCTCAATTTAAATATATTAATTATAAGTAGGTATAAGCATCTGACTGTTGGATTGTCTTTGGTATAGTCACGCCTGAACATGTACATATTGAACTACATAATTTACTACTAGTCATTTTTATTTTATTTTTATTACTGTTAGGACATTTTATTAGTTTTTGAATTTTTAAAAAATACCTGTGAATTTTATTTTAGGTTGTAAAAGGAGAAAATAAAATGTATATGTATAGACTTTTAAATAACAAAGGGGTATTAGGTTTAATAGGATCAAGAACTACTGATATAGATGAAGCACCAGACTAAGGAAAATGCTAACACTTACCTAATTCACTGAGAAATGCCATGTATGATTGTTTTAGGTTAGAGAATCAATATAATAGGCTGGGCACAGTGACTCACCCCTGTAATCCCAGCACTTTGAGAGGCCAAGGCAGGAGGATTGCTTTGAACCCAGGAGTTCAAGATCAGCCTAAGCAACATAGCAAAACCTCATCTTCACAAAAAATAAAAAAATTAACTGGGCATGGTGGCACACACCTGTATTCCTAGCTACTCAGGAGGTGGAGGCGAAGGGATAGCCTGAGCCCAGGAGTTTGAGGCTGCTGTGAGCTGTAGTGTCACTGCACTCAGCCTAGGCAACAGAATGAGATGCCGGCTGAAAAAAAAAGAAATACATATTTCTTGCCTCCTTGCCACACTGCCTTCCTATCACCTCTGCAATAATTGGTGCTTACGTTAGAGCCAGTTCCCCAAATTTCCACCTTAGAGTAGCAAAATATGATGGATTTTGTGTCAAAATAACCACGAGAAAAAAAAGTTGAAGTTAAACTTGTGTGTGTTTTAATTTTCAGTTTATTTCCTATGAGTTTCTCTAGATCGGTAATAAGTGTACATAGTGCTAGAGAACAGAACCGTCTGTTTCTTTTCTTTTTTTTTTTTTTTTTGAGTTTGAGTCTCACTCTGTCACCCAGACTGGAGTGCAGTGGTCGCTCCTGGCCATCACAACCTCGACCTGCTGGACTCCGGCGATCCTTCCACCTTAGTCTTCCAAGTAGCTGGAAGTACAGGTGCGCGCTACCACACCTGGCTAATTTTTTTAATTTATTGTAGAGATGAGGTCTCGCCAAGTTGCCCAGGCGGGTCTTGAACCCGCGGGCTCAGGCAATCCACTCACCTCAGCCTCCCAAGGCACAGGATTACAGGCTGAGCCACCGAGCCCGGCTCTCCTGTTTCTTATAGAAATGCTTTTACTCTGCAGCTGTCAGTGCTTACACTCTGAAGGTGCTCAAAATATTTGTAATATAATCTCAGAATCACAAAAACCTTGAAGGTTCATTCTAGTCTGGTGGTTTCTAAAACTTTCTAATTCGATAGTCTACATATTTTTCAAACGATTAATTGATTCTGTGCACTTTTTAATTGTGGTAGAAGCACATCATCTTTATAGATTTTTTTACGTGTATGATGCAATACTGTTATCTAAAGGATTTGGGTGCAGTCTTGGTGGAGGACCACTGTAGCAAGATATAAATGAATCCTTTTGTACTTATTTGCTTTTTTAAAAAATGGAGTACAGGAGCAGAATTTTAACGAGGCGTTTACAATTAATAAATGTAGTACATATTTCTTATAAAACAAACAATGTGGACATGTATAAAACAAAAAGTAGTTTCCACTCCATTTCCAGGGTTAAGCATTATTAATCATTTCTATATCCTTTATGTGATTAGAATTTTTATTTGCTTTTCCTCATGTTTAAATTCTCACTTAAACATAGATACATTAGTTCTTTCCATTTTCAACTCTTACAGTTTTTTAAACTTAGAGATCAAATCCTATTAGAACAAACATTCAAGAAAGTTTTGAATTTTGTCCACCTTTAAAAATGTATGTTTCTATAAAGTTACGTAAATCATATTTTTGAATTATTAATGAACTTGCTATTTTAAATAAATCCTACAGTCAAAGCTTAACAAAAATTTATAGTATAAAACTTAATCATTTTATAGTATAAAGTTTAACTGTTTCTCCATCGTTGTTACAAATCACTCAAATTTGTACAATCAGAATTTTGGTTTTCAATCCATTATATCCCAGAAACACAAAAAATTTCTAAAGTCTAAGATGATAGCACATCTATTCCAAGTAGAACTTTATGCACTGAAATTCCAGTACTCCGTCTCTCCCCAAATCATTACTGTCTCTTGAGATGTTATATGGAAACTAGCCTGCAAAAGATTTGCAGGCAGTGTAGGGACAGATGGCAAAGAAATAGATTGTTTTATTTATTAGCATTTTATATCT